GTCTTTGTGAGACGCAGAGTAGGTGAACGGATGATCTCTGCATGTGTGGTTCCCACCGTGAAGCATGGAAGAGGAGGTGTGATGGTGTGGGTGTGCTTTGCTGGTGACACTGTCTGTGATTTATTTAGAATTCAAGGCACACTTAACCAGCATGGCTACCACAGCATTCTGCAGTGATACGCCATCCCATCTGGTTTGCGCTTAGTGGGACTATCATTTGTTTTTCAACAGGACAATGACCCAACACACCTCCAGGCTGTGTAAGGGCTATTTGACCAAGAAGGAGAGTGATGGAGTGCTGCATCAGATGACCTGGCCTCCACAATCCCCCGACCTCAACCCAATTGAGATGGTTTGGGATGAGTTGGACCACAGAGTGAAGGAAAAGCAGCCAACAAGTGCTCAGCATATGTGGGAACTGCTTCAAGACGGTTGGAAAAGCATTCCAGGTGGAGCTGGTTGAGAGAATGCCAAGAGTGTGCAAAGCTGTCTTCAAGGCAAAGGGCTACTTTGAAGATTCTAAAATCTAAAATCTATTTTGATTTGTTTAACACTTTTTTGGTTACTACATAATTCCATATGTTTTATTTCATAGTGTTGATGTCTTCACTATTATTCTACAATGTAGAAAATAGTAATAATAAAGAAAACCCTGGAATGAGTAGGTGTGTCCAAACTTTTGGCTGGTACTGTATGTAAAATAAAAAATAAAAACAAATCTATAGCCTCGTATCCGTGTAGGGAAACAGAATGTAAGCTCACGAGATCAGCATGATCGTATGAGGCAAAACAAATCTACACCTGAAACACAAAAAAGCCAGCAGTTGCAAAATCTTATGTGTGTGAAAATGAGGGGATGGGGTGAACTACTGTGTAATGTATGCATGATGTGAAGAGTGAAAGAGAGTTGTTTGTTTGGGACAAGTCCGTATTTACCCATTCAGATCACTGTAACCTTGGCAGAGTCCCATTCTCGACACACCTGTCCTGTTCCTCTACACACAAACTCACCTCTGTTCCACTCCAGGGTGTGTGCAGATGAAGCAGCCTACAGGAGCAGGACACGCTGCCGGTTCATGGACAACACAAATATTTGCAATAAACCAATAATGACATTTTGTGGAACAGTCAATGGGCAAATAATCAGCAATAGAAATCAATGTCCAAATATTTTCACAAGCTCTTTTATTACCCACATCCGACTACTCCCTTCTTCAGGAGCACATCTGTCCAACAGATCCTTATAACATAATGGAAAGGCTTTCGAGGAACAAAGACGAGGTGTATAGTTGATTTACTAATGTGTTTTGCTATGCTGTATTATTGCCAGTCCTCTTTCTGGCCATTTGTATATGCAGTGACGGTACCGGTATGTCAGTAGTGGGTGCATCTCAATAGTCTTAAGTGGCTTTGTTTCTTCTACTGGACAGATGGAAGCAAAGCACCAGTTTATAACGCCATAGTGCTTTCACCTATCCTTCCAGATCAGCGCAGAGGAAGAAGAGAGGAAGCCATTTTAGACTACTGAGATGCAGCCTGTGTGTCTGAAGATCCTCATTTGGAAACCGCATGACATAAGGGTTCTCCTCAGGTCAGATAGATGTCAGGCCCTGCTCTCTGCCTATCCACCCTGACCTATCAGCCTGTTACTCAAACTGATGACAGACTGAGAAATGAGGGGTGGATGCGAGCAGGAGAGTCCGACATCCCGATCTGGACAGAGGATGAACAAAATCATGGGAGGAAACGTTACTGAACTGCTAAAATCACTAAACTGAACAGAAACAAAAATCTAAATTGGGAAAAAATCTCTGCACTGACTTTTTATGACTAAATGATATAATACAATCACTCGTCTTTCATCGACACCAGTTGTCATGACATCAGTCATGTCATGATATACTTAATCTAGGCTTTGGACAACAGGGGTGGTTGAGTGTAGTGGCGCCAAGCAGACATCTGTCAGAAAGTGGGAGGAAGAGAGCGGTCAGTGTGACATGCTGTGGCGTTGTGGGCAGAGGCTGCATGCCAGGACTGTGACCTACCTATCCCTGTAACTGTAGGTCTTCATACTAAGACAACGTGGAGACCGGGGCAAAAAGGTCCCAGAACCCAACGTCATCAGACAATACACTAAACGTCTAGAGATGATGAGTGCAGGAGTTCTCTTATAAATAATTAAACTGTGGATCTCTAAAATAGGATTTTAAAATCAGTGAAATCAATGAAACGTTTTTGTTAAGCCTTACTAGCTGTTGAATTGATGTTATGTATTTTGGATATTTTGTTAACCAAGACTGCTCCCTCAGGACAGGAGCTGAAAGAGAAGACTTGACCTTCTATAAAACGGAACAATAAAAGGTGCTGAACACTGCAAGCCAACACCTGCATGTAAAAGTCATTAGATAGCGGAACAGAATGAACAGGGAACAAACATCACCAAGACACCGTTTAAGTTATTCTGTTCACTTTTCATAACATCTTTATTGAATTTGTGTCTCATTTTAAACATATTTACATGTCTTTTTTTGTTCAGTAAAAATACAAATACAGAACACTTTTTTTTCAAAATCAACATCCTCACGGTGACTGACAGCGCCAAAGAACGCCTCGGCTTCCTCCCTAGACAGAAAGCAGTGATGGTGTCAGAGAGTAAAGGTGGGGGTAGGGGGGACAAACAGTGATGAACATACTTCATAACTTTCTACACCAGTAGGCTGCTGCTACTGCCACCACCACAAGAGGGAGGCAGGGGGGAGACACTGAGCTGCCGACAGATGGGGACAGGGGGAGGGATAGCAGGGGAGAAAGAAAGGAATAGAAAATTGTAGGGATATGAAGGAGTAGAAAGAGAGTGACAGAGTAAAAAAAAAAAAAGAGGCTGAGGAAAAAGTAATGGTGAGATGGTGGGACAGGTGTTGTATAGGTGCAGCACATGAGAAATGAGTGACAGAAACCAACCAATTAGCTAAACAGAGACACAAATATAGTATGGCTTTATTGATTGGCAAGGTGAGTGGTTCTGTAATCAGTCCAACCCCAACAGTATCATCATCACTATTCCATCATCATCATCATCATCATCATGATGGGTCTGCTAGAGGGACAGCAGGGTGGCTCATAGAAAAGTAACTGGTGTATGAGCCTGTGTATGAATAACATTTTCTAAAAATGTACAAATGAAAAAGCACAGTATTGGCCAAAGGCATCACATAGCAACACTTGATAAGGCTTTAAATTAATTTATAGGTCCAACAAAAATGTTATTTATTTCAGGGTACCCTTCTATTTCCTAGTGTTACCTTCAACCCCCTAAACCTAAAGTATCCCCCTCCCAATCAACGCACCAATCACAGATTCATCACTGAACACAGCAGAGTTCCTTGCGTTCCATCTACTGTTGCAGAAACAAGATTCATACGAAACACAACAGATCCATTTAGAACACACAAGTCCATAGAGAATGAATGCCATAACATTCAACATACACTCATTGCACAGGTGACTGAGCCCAAGTCCTAATTTGTGAGTGGTGATTAGAATAAGAACAAGAAACAGTTTAGGTAGAATCCGATCAGTAGGGTGAGGAGTTAAGAACACCAGGCCCTACCAATCGGTGGCAGCGCAACACTATCCATGTCAGTCATTTTAAAAGGAGTCAAAGACACAGAGATTATAAATGGAGGGCTTTGTGTCTTCAGCTCCGACAGTGCTGTAACTCTTTTCCCTCTTAGTAATACGAACAACAAAGTGCATAACAATGTATCTATTGGGGCTATTTTATCAGCAGACAGGAAACACTGCCAAAACATGCCTTGTCCCAATCTGCCTGTGGAGTGGTAGTGATTTATGGAAAAGACAGGAACGGAAGTTTACCAGGCTAGAGAGGCGCGATTGGAGAAGTGAAGAAATATGACAAGAAAGAGAAGATTAAGGAGGGAGTTGGAATGGTGTGATAAGACAAGGTAGAGGGGAGAGAGATGCAGAATGGTGTGATAAGACAAGGTAGAGAGGAGAGAGATGCAGAATGGTGTGATAAGACAAGATAGAGAGGAGAGAGATGCAGAATCGGTGTGATAAGACAAGGTAGAGAGGAGAGAGATGCAGAATCGGTGTGATAAGACAAGGTAGAGAGGAGAGAGATGCAGAATGGTGTGATAAGACAAGATAGAGAGGAGAGAGATGCAGAATCGGTGGAATAGCAGCAACAAAATGATGAGGTCAGGCTAAGCTATGTAACCTGCTAATCATAAGAGATGGAGGGAGATACAGAGCGAGAGAGAGAGTGTGACAGAGAAAGAGACAAAAGAGCAGAGAGAGAGGAGAAAGTGTACAGAAATGGCAGAATGTAGCATAGAGAATGCAAGGGATATCAGTTCCATATCACCGGTCCACTTTTGAAAGGTTCCAGAATGGGAGGCATTAAGCCGTTGCTCCCGTCCACAAAGTGACACAGATACAGTTCCAGGTCAAAGTTCAGAGTAAGACAGTAAACAGGAAATGGCAGACGGACTAGGAGGGTCGCAGTCTGTCGTGTCCCTGCCAATCAGCGTCCAGGACACAGAATGACAAAAGAAATCAACAAACCCCATAGATCCCATAGTCTTCAGTTTGACTGTCAGTCTGTCTAGTCTGTCTGAAACATACACATCCCTTCAGAGAAGGGTCCATCTGTTTGTTTGTTCATACACACTCTCTTGCTCCTGTGTGCGTCCGTTATGAGACAGAGTTTGGCTAAAACAAATCAAGCTTCCTGATTGGGGCCCGGTGTTTCAACAGAAAAGTAGCCAATCACAAACGTGGAACGCACCCTCCGTCCTTATGATAAGCAGAGAGAGCTATAGGGAATGAAAGAAGAGCGAGCGAGGGAGGCTATTGTTTCAGTCCCCTCCACTCTGCAGTGGTCTGAGCTCTCTCCTTCTGCAGTCTGTAGCAGTGAGAGGGAGAGATGGAGACAGGGCTGCTGTGGCCCCCTCGAGGTCTGGAGGCCCCCCTGGTCTCTACCGCTGGGCCTGGCTCCCTGGTAGGGTGAGGTTGGCCAGGTGCAGCACCGGCAGGGGGTGGGCCTCCGTGTTGAACACCCAGCTCTCCAAAGGCATCAGGTCATCACTGGAGAACAACAAGTACAGATACCTGGACAAGAGAGAGGGAGGGAGAAAGAGGAGAGAGAGCAGACAATATTCAGCTGCTATATTCTGTTCATCAGTGCTGTAGTAGTATTTGTATGAGACGATGTGAACAGCAACAAGCAGAGCGACCAGCAGGGGGGAGCAGAGCACACAGTTCCAGTGCATTCTGGGAGCTGCCAGGACATCCCCATCTCATACCAACTGGATGTGAATGAACAGGACACGGGGGAGCTGCCCCATCCACTCCACCTCACCTCAGATCAGTCTAAAACAACAACCAGTGTAATATCACCCTAGTACAGGGGCTGGCCAACCTTCCTCCTGGAGAGCTATTGGGTGTGCAGTCTTGATCCAAAATGGCGGAAGACTTACTTGAGCGTCTCTGCCAAGAAGAAGCTCTGCTGGACATCGTCGTAGGTTGGGTTGGAGGAGTAGACGTCCTTGACCCCAGAGAACCCACCGCTGACCCTGCAGTACTTTTCTATGGCCTGGAGGGGGAGACCGAGAGCAGCACTGTTAATTACCACTCATTTACAATGTAGTCAGGCGATGGGTAGACTCTTATTCCATTAAACATTTTGTTTAAGGGAGGGTTGGAGGAGACATTCTCTATCCATCACCACTCTAGTCTAAACTGGTTATGTGATGAATAATATTTGATTTAAAATCGCTTTGTTTTAATTGAGATTTGAAGCTAATGTCTCCGTCTGTGACCTCAGTCCAAGCATTAAAACGCTGTGATCTTTTTAAGATCTCTTCTTCACTCCTCTGCACCGCATCAGGTGTAATTCAAGGGAGGGTAAAAGATGGTGGATCGTTAATTGACACAGAGTAAGATGAGTTTGCTTAATAAAATCATGCTTTCCTCTCTTCTTCTCTCCCTCCTCTCTCTCTCTCTCTCTCTCTCTCTCTCTCTCTCTCGCTCTTTCTCTGAATCGGTCCTTGTCTCGTTCTCTCTTAATGTACCTCTAATAGTCAGTAGTTGTCAGCAGAATCTCACTGAAGGAGTTGGAACTATTTTCTATTTTACATGGACCACTGCATTTGATGTGTGTGTGTGCGTGCATTTGTCCTTCTGAGCATGCACGCACACATACATACACACACACAGCAGCGTCCTAGACAGCCATCTGTACATCGAGCCTGGGCACAACCACATACACACATCAAAACTATCCAGCCACATGCACACACACACCTGAACTAGAATGCAGTCCTAATACCATCTGGGTTAATAAAGTGTTGTGTGAGTCTGTTCCTCTTCTATCTGGAGGAGAAGGGTGTGTGTGTGTGTGTGTGTGTACACAGCTGCACTCTGCTGGTCTCATTTCACAGGGCCGTGCACTACAACAGCTGGGCCTAACTAACCTCAAAACACATGACTCACACACACTTAGACGAAGTAGGATGAAGTTGCCCCTAGACACTGATCTTAGATGTTATCTCACTAATTGTCAAGCTTAGGACTTAGGAAGGTAAGCTGCCTACTACCCAGAGCCTCAGGTAAAATAGTATGAGTGAGAGTGTGTGTGTGTGATCAAACGTGAGCTGATGTGATGGTGCAGGAGCACTACAGACAGGTAGGCAGATCAACTGTGTAGAACTGTCCAGAGAGAAAGGAGAGGGAGGCAGGGAGAGGTAGAGAGGGAGAGAGGGGGGCAGGGAGAGGTAGAGAGGGAGAGAGGGGGGCAGGGAGAGGTAGAGAGGGGGGCAGGGAGCGGTAGAGAGGGGGGCAGGGAGCGGTAGAGAGGGGGGCAGGGAGAGGTAGAGAGGGGGGCAGGGAGCGGTAGAGAGGGGGGCAGGGAGAGGTAGAGAGGGAGAGAGGGGGGCAGGGAAAGGGAGAGGGGGGGGGCAGGGAGCGGTAGAGAGGGGGGCAGGGAGCGGTAGAGAGGGGGGGCAGGGAGCGGTAGAGAGGGGGGCAGGGAGCGGTAGAGAGGGGGGGCAGGGGAGCGGTAGAGAGGGGGGAGAGAGGGGCACGGAGAGGTAGAGGGGAGAGAGAGGGGGCAGGGAGAGGTAGAGAGGGAGAGAGAGGGGCACGGAGAGGTAGAGGGAGAGAGAGGGGGCAGGGGAGAGGTAGGAGGGATAGAGGGGGGCAGGGAGAGGTGAGAGGGAGAGATGGGGGCAGGGAGAGGTAGAGAGGGAGAGATGGGGGCAGGGAGAGGTAGAGAGGGGGGCAGGGAGAGGGAGAGAGAGGGGGAGAGGGAGAGGGGGGGCAGGGGAGGGGGAGAGAGGGGGGGAGGGAGAGGTGAGAGGGGGACAGGGAGAGGGAGAGGGTTAGAGAGGGAGAGAGGGGGCGGGGGGCAGGGAGAGAGAGGGGGCCAGGGAGAGGGAGAGGAGGGGGGCAGGGAGAGGGAGAGGGAGAGGGGGGAAGGGAGAGGTAGAGAGAGGGGGCAGGGGGAGGTAGAAAGGTAGAAAGGGGGGCAGGGATAGGTAGAAAGGAAGAGAGGGGGCAGGGAGAGGTAGAAAGGAAGAGAGGGGGCAGGGAGAGGAAGGGGAGAGGGGTAGGGAGAGGGAGAGAGGGGTGCAGGGAGAGGGAGAGAGTGGGGCAGGGAGAGGGAGAGGGAGAGAGAGGGGGGCAGGGAGAGGTAGAGAGGGATAGAGGGGGGCAGGGAGAGGTAGAGAGGGAGAGAGGGGGCAGGGAGAGGTAGAGAGGGAGAGAGGGGGGCAGGGAGAGTTTGAGAGGGAGAGAGGGGGGCAGGGAGAGGTAGAGAGGGAGAGAGGGGGGCAGGGAGAGGTTAGAGGGAGAGATGGGGGCAGGGAGAGGTAGAGAGGGGGGGCAGGGAGAGGGGAGAGAGGGGGAGAGGGAGAGGGGGGGCAGGGAGAGGGAGAGGGAGAGAGGGGGGCAGGGAGAGGGAGAGGGAGAGAGGGGGACAGGGAGAGAGGGAGGTAGAGAGGGAAGAGAGAGGGGGCGGGGGGCAGGGAGAGAGGGGGGAGGGAGGAGGGGGGGCAGGGAGAGGGAGGAGGGAGAGGGGGGAAGGGGAGAGGTAGAGAGAGGGGGCAGGGGGAGGTAGGAAAGGTAGAAAGGGGGGCAGGGATAGGTAGAAAGGAAGAGAGGGGCAGGGAGGAGTAGAGAAAGGAAGAGAGGGGGCAGGGAGAGGAAGGGAGAGGGGTAGGGAGAGGGGGCAGGGAGAGGGAGAGGGAGAGAGGGGGCAGGGAGAGGGAGAGGGAGAGAGGAGAGGGGGCAGGGAGAGGTGAGAGGGAGAGAGGGGGGCAGGGAGAGGGAGAGGGGAGAGGGGGGCAGGGAGAGGAGAGAGGGAGAGGGAGGGGGGCAGGGAGAGAGAGGGGAGAGGGGAGGGGAGGTAGAGAGGGGGGCAGGGAGGGAGGGGAGGTAGGGAGAGAGGGGGCAGGGAGAGGGAGAGGAGAGGGAGCAGGGAGAGGGAGAGGGGGAGGGGGAAAGAGGGGGGGGGGGAGGGAGAGGGAGGGGAGAGAGGGGGGAGGGGGGGGAGGGGGGAGGAGGGGGAAGGGGAGAAAAGGGGAGGAAGAGGGAAGAGGGGGGGGGGGGGGAGAGGGGGGGGGGAGAGGGGGGGGAAGGGAGGGGGGAGAGGGGAGAGGGGGGAAGGGAGAGGGAGAGGGGGGGGGGGGAGGGAGAGAGGGGGGGGGGGGAAAGGGAAAAAGGAAAGAGAGGGGGGGAAAAGGGAGAGGTAAAAAGGAAGGGGGGAGGGGCGGGGGGGGGGGTGGGGAAGGGGTGGGGGAAAGGGGGAGAAAGGGGGGGGAAAGGGAGAAAGAGGGAGAGAGGGGGGAGGGAAGGGAAAAGGGGGAAGAGAGGGCACGGGAAGGGGGAGGGGGGGGAGAGGGGGGGAAGGGAGAAGGGGGAGGGGGGCGGGAGGGAAAAAAGGGGGGGGGGAAAGGGAGAAGGAAGAGGGGGGAAAGGGAGGGTGGGGAAGGGGGGAGGGGGGGGAGGGGGGAGGGGGGAGGGGGGGGGAGGGGAGAGAGGGGGGGGAGGGAGGGGGGGGGGGGAGGGGAGAGGGGAAGAGGGGGGCGGGGAGGGGGGGGTGGGGGGGGGGGAGGGAAGAGGGAGAGGAGGGGGCGGGAGAGGGAGGGGGAGAAGGGGGGGGGGAGATTGGGGGGGGGGGGGGCAGGGAGGGAGGGGGGGGGGAGAGGGGGGAGGGAGAGGAGAGGGAGAGGGGGGAGGGAGGGGTAGAGGGGGGGGGCAGGGGGGGGGGGGGGAAAGGGGGGGGGGGAAGGGGGGGGGAAAAGGGGGAAAGGGGGGGGGGAAGGGGGGGAGGGGGGGGGGGAAAGGGGGAAGGGGAGGGGTAAAAGGGGGGAAGGGAGAGGGGGGGGGGGGAAGGGAGGGGGGGCGGGAGAGGGGGGAGGGGGGGGGAAAGGGGGGAGGGGGGGGGGGAGGGAAAAGGGGAAGCGGGGGGGCAGGGGGGGAGGGGAGAAGGGGGGGGGGAAGGAAAAAAGGGAGAGGGGGCGGGGGGGGGAAAAAAAGGGAGAGGGGGGGGGAAAGGGGAAGGGAGGGGGGTGGGGAGGGGGGGGGGAGGGGGAGAGGGAGAGGGGGGGGGGAAAGGGAGGGGGGAGAGGGGAGAGAGGGGGGCAGGGAGAGGGAGGGGGGAAAAGGGGGGGGGAGGGAGAGGGAGAGGGGAGGGGGGGGAGGGAAGGGAGGGGGAGGGGGGGGGCAGGGAGAGGGAGAGGGAAGGGAGAGGGGGGGAGGGAGAGGGGGGGGGAAGGGGGGAAAGGGGGGGAGGAGGGGGAAGGGGGGGGGGGGGAGAGGGAGGAGAGGGGGGGGGGAGAAGAGGGAGAGGGAGAGGGGGAAAGGGAGAGGGGAGGGGGGGAAGGGGAGGGGGGGAGAGGGAGAGGGAGAGGGAGAAGGGGGAGGGAGAGGGAGAGGGAGAGAGGGGGGGGGGAGAGGGAAGAGGGGAGAGGGGGGGAAGGGAGGGGGAAAGGGGAGAGGGGGGGCAGGGGAGGGAGAGGGAGAGGGGGGGGGAGGGAGAGGGAGAGGGAGAGGGGGGGGGGGAGGGGGGGAGGGGGAGGGGGGGGGGGGGGGAGAAGAGGGAGAGGGGGGGGAGGGAGGGGGGGAAGGGAGGGGGGGGAGGGGGGAGGGAGAGGGGAGAGGGGCAGGGAGAGGGAGGGGGAGGGAGAGGGGAGGGAGAGGGAGGCACGGAGAGGGAGAGGGAGAGGGGAGGGAGGGGGAGAGGGGGGGGAAGGGAGGGGAGGAGGGGGGCGGGAGAGGGAGGGGAGGGGGAGAGGGGAGGGAGAGAGGGGGGGGGAGGGGGAGGGGGGAGAGGGAGAGAGGGGGGCGGGGAGGGGGAAGGGAGGGGAGAGGGGGGCAGGGGAGGGAGAGGGGAGGGAAGGGGGGGGAGAGGGAGAGGGGGGAGGGAGGGGAGGAGGGGAGAGAGGGGGGGCAGGGAGGGAGAAAGGGGGGGGGGGGAGGGGGGAGAGGGGGGGAGGGGAAGGGGGGGGAGGGGGGGGGGGGGGGGGGAGGGGGGCGGGGGGGGGGGAGGGGGAGGGGGAGGGGGGGCGCTAAAACTAGTAAAAATTTGCTGTTGGAAACAAAAACCCCCCTCCTGCACAGTTCTGCCGGTGTTTTTTCTGAGAAACTTGCGATGTGTGCATGCCCTCATAAAAAAAAGAAAAAAAAAGGAAAGGTTCAAATTGCTGTGGGGGCCTGTCGGTCAATTGGTTTGTTAAAAACAGAAAAAACGGCTTTTTGGTAATAGTCGCCTAGCAAGGGGGGTGGAGGGGGGGGGGGAAAGGGAGGAGGGAGGAAAAGAGAGGGAAAGGGGAGTTGAGAGGGAAAGGGAGGGGAGAGAGAAAGGGGGAAAAGGGAGAGAAAGAGGGGGGAGGAAGAGAGAAAGAGAGAGGAGGAGGGGAAAAGGGGGAGAGTAAAAGAGAGGGGAGAGATTTAAGAGAGGGGGAGAGAAAGGAGGGAAAGAGAGGAGGGGGTTTTAAGAGAGAGGAGGAGAGGAAAGTAGAGTAAGAGAGGAGAGCGTAAGAGAGGGAGAGATAAGAGAGGAGAGAGTAAGAGGAGGAGGAGCAGGAAAGAGGAGAGTAAGAGAGAGGAGGAGAGAGTAAGAGAGGAGAGAGTAAAGAGAGAGGAGAGGAAGGGAAAGGAGAGAGTAAGAGAGAGGAGGAGAGAGTAAGAGAGAGGAGGAGAGGAAAGGAGAGAGTAAGAGAGAGGAGGAGAGAGTAAGAGCGAGGAGGAGAGGAAAGGAGAGAGTAAGAGAGAGGAGGAGACGGAAAGGAGAGATTAAGAGAGAGGAGGAGAGGAAAGGAGAGAGTAAGAGAGGAGAGAGTAAGAGAGGAGAGAGTAAGAGAGGAGAGAGTAAGAGAGAGGAGGAGAGGAAAGGAGAGAGTAAGAGAGAGGAGGAGAGAGTAAGAGAAAGGAGGAGAGGAAAGGAGAGAGTAAGAGAGAGGAGGAGGAGAGTAAGAGAGAGGAGGAGAGGAAAGGAGAGAAGAGATTAAGAGAGAGGAGGAGGAGAGGTAAGAGAGAGGAGGAGAGGAAAGGAGAGAGGAAGGAGAGAGTAAGAGAGAGGAGGAGAGAGTAAGAGAGAGGAGGAGAGGAAAGGAGAGATTAAGAGAGAGGAGGAGAGGAAAGGAGAGAGTAAGAGAGAGGAAGAGAGAGTAAGAGAGAGGAGGAGAGGAAAGGAGAGAGGAAGAGAGAGTAAGAGAGAGGAGGAGAGGAAAGGAGAGAGTAAGAGAGAGGAGGAGAGGAAAGGAGAGAGTAAGAGAGGAGAGAGTAAGAGAGGAGAGAGTAAGAGAGAGGAGGAGAGGAAAGGAGGGAGTAAGAGAGAGGAGGAGAGGAAAGGAGAGGTGCATGGTGCAGAGGAGCAGTAAGAGGTAGAACAAAGAAGAGAACTCCCTCCATCTCCACTCAGTCACTCAGGCTGAGGGAGGCTGCATTCAGACCCACAACAACAGCTCTCGAGCACCAACACAATCACACAGGAACAGATAGAGGGGAAAAAGGAGAGGAGATAAGCGGAGGAGGGGAAAGAGGGAGAGGAGAACAGAGGGACAGAGAGAGATAAGATAGGTGAGTGGTGGCGAGAAGGAGGAGAGGGAGGGAAGCCAGAGAAAGGAAGTGAAAAATGAGAGAGCAGAGTGATTGAGTGGTTGAGAGGAGGATGGAGAGAAAGCGTCTGCTAAAAGACTAAAACGTAAATGTAGAAGAGTGTTTCACTCTGACCTAAAAAATAAAAGCCTTAAGAGGGAACAGAGATGGGGGAAAAAAAGACTATAAATGGAGAGAAAAATGAGTATTCTCTGTCCTCAAGTAGCATTAGTCTGATTCACACTTTGATCCGCTCTCTTTAAATTACAATGGGTCCATGCACTTATCCAATTCTTTCAGATGTACACTGGTGCAGAGAAGGTACTGCTAGGGGTTAGGGGTTGATAGGGGATTGGGCATGGATGGATAAGTAGAAGCATAAGTACAATATGGTAGGAGTAGTAATACTAGTTTGTAGTGATTTTCCAGTGGCTTACCTGTGCTGCCTCCCAGCCCCACTGCCTGTACTTGGGGTCGTGGGTGAACCTCCACATGTACCAGTAGGTCTCAATGACCTCTGGCCTCAGGATGTAGTATTTCTCATTCTGACGCACCGCCACCGCCTCCAGGCCACTGTCAAACTTAAAGGCCTCCGGACCCAGCTTCAACACTAGGGAGGAAGGGGAGGGAGTGAGAGAGAAGGGGGGGGGGGGGGTGGAGAGATGTTCAATATCCATTGATTTTCCTGGTTTAGCATAAGTACACAACATATTTCCTGCCAATTAAACGTTTAGAGTAATAGGAGCAGATTACAGTGATCAAGTAGCAGACAGGAGATTTTTGACAGATTTGTTCTGCACGCCTTGTCACTGTGGATGGGAACCAGAGACAACTGGATAAAACTGAAATATCATCACTGTCAAACTTTACTTCCAGGAAGTTCAGCCAGTTCCCATGGTAACCTCACTTAAAAAAAAACTCAACTAAACTCACAAAATCTGACTCAACATCTGGCAACAACTATAATCCATGGCAACCAAACCACCCCATAATAAGTTACCATTTATACCTAAACTTTCTTTGATTTCCCTATATGTTTAGACATGTGTGTTTGTCTCCGTCTCACCGGTGCGGTCGTAGGACTCGTGGCAGGTGTGTGCGATTTCAGCCCCAAGCTGTAGGTAGTGTCCAGCCTTGTCGTCAGGCGAGCCGTCGGCCCCCAGAGCGAACATCCCCCCGGCGAAGCAGGTCAGGTGACCCATCTTCCTCTCCAGGTGGCCATTCTTCCACTCCCCGATGAACGTCAGGCCGCCGTTGGACTTACGGATCAGGTGGCGCTCGATGGCCTGGAGGGGGGTGGGGAATGGGTGTGGGTGGTGATGGTAGAAGGGGTAGGTGTGTGTATGTGTGTGTGTAGGGAGGAGAGAGAGCGAGAGAGAGAGATAGAGGACAGGTAGTTAGTCCCTGGCACAGTAGAGGGAACAGGAACAAAGTTGTGTAAGTGTCCTCAGCTCCAGTCCTTGAGAGCAGCAGCAACATCTGCTGTTCTCCTCCTCCCCCTGGCACCTACTGTACCTGATCAATCAACATCAATAACTGGCCACAAAGTCCAGGCATCTGCTTACTGTTAACTAAATCACACACTGAATAAAAGGCAAACATTGAACCCAGTCGACCCTGCAGTTAAAGGACTTTGAGGAGTTGAGGAGCAATCCTAACTATCTGGCCTGAAGGATATAGAGTAAGGTAGTTGCTATTTCAGGGTAGGCTAGATGGAGTTGAAACACAGCTGTGTGTTTGCCAATCAAAGCCATCTCCATGGAGACCAGGTAACGGTGTGGTGCGTACCTCGATAGCGTCATCGTAGGTCTTGCGGGCCTCTGTGTCGGTCTTGTCTGACATGAGCCAGGCCTTCAGCAGGTACTCATAGAAACTGTCCCCCAGACCTCCGACTGATGTATGGTCTACAGGGGGAGGGGGGGGGGGGGGGGGGCGGAGAGAGAGAAGAACAAGAAGAGAGAGTGAGGGATGGGGGAGAAAGATAAGTGGGTGGGGAAAGGGACAAAGCGAGGGAGAGAGAGAGAGAAAGAAGAAAAGATGGAGGGAGTCAGAGGGACAAAAATATAATTATTTATTGGATGACGTTTTCTTCAAAACCCCAACCAGAGCCAACACTATTCTTCAGGGAGGGGTTTTAAATTACAGAAACAAAATGGCTATGGAGATTATTTGCCCCTCTTACAGTATGATGGCAAAGACTATATTATTTCTTAATGTCCCCCATGTCTTAATGTCCCCCATGTCCTAGTAAAAGTTGTTTCAGACTTTATTGCTGGCCTAAATAAAGTGACACATTACAGTGAGCAGGAGGATGCGCCAACTCTCACTCAGCAAGAGGACACAGATGGGTAGGCACACGCACGCACCCACACACATACATACACACACGCACTCACTCTCTCAATCTGTCACAGACTACCCCGAGCCATGATTCTGCAGTATTAAGCAATGTGGTAGTTTAAGTAGCAGAGTCAAGACACTCAGAAAGAGTACTGTGTTATCCCCATGAGGCCTGACTCTGTTTAGCTTAAGTTGTTAGCCAGCAGGGACTTAAAGGAAAATTCCACCCAAAAACTATCTTTTGGTATTTGTTTCATTAGTCCATTGTTGACATAGTCCCAAACTGTTTTGCTTGTCATCATTCAAGTTTTCAAGATATGTAACTTTCAAAACAAATAAAAATCCTCCCAGTATGATGCAAAATGCAGCATCATATGATGAAAAATGCATCATACAGGGATGATTTCTGTATTTTGAAAGTTCCATATCTTGAAAACTTGATTCCTGACAAGCAAAACACTTTGGGACTATGTCAACAATGGACTAATGAAACAAATACCAAAAGATAGTTTTTGGGCTGAGTTTTCCTTTAAGATGCTATTGTGTAGTAGCCTCCCTCTGGCTAAAGCCATATATTTAGCTGCACTAACAGAGCTAGATAGCCAGCTAATGACTCAGCAATGTTAACCAACGGTGTCAAAGAAGCCAACAATGCTAAACAATGCTGAGAGCAGTGGGGCTAGCACCATTTGCAGTCCCAGTCCACAGCTAGTGCTGGGGCCAACAGCTAAATGATCATGGTTAATGCTAAACCTCTCACTAAAAGCTTCAGTCATACAGAAGTTATATTTAAACCCAAACTGATTCTCCAGTAGATCAGTAAGAATGGCTCACCCGCTGTTCAAAAATGGCCTTTTTGCCTTTATCCAGATTACAACCTCTCATTTTTGGTTAATTGAAAATGAAACCTTGTTCAAAGTATCGCCTTTTCTTTAACAAGCAGTACAAAAGCTGGTTATAATTGCAATTGCATCCTTCTGAAAAGACAGATCAAACAATACAACAAATATTATGGTTAAACTCAAATATACTGATTAGATTTCTTTCCATTCTTTATGTATTTTTTTAATGCTATGATTTTTACTAATGATATTATGAATAGTTATGATGAAGTTATGTTACACATGCAGCTATCAAAAATATATGGGACTGTTTGCTCTATCCAAAGTTATAACCAACTGACTGCAGCATTAAAAGCTGCAATATGTAACTTTTTGGGTGACCGACCAAATTCACATAGAAAAGTGAGTTATAGCGCTGTCATTCTCATTGAAAGCAAGTCTAAGAAGCTGTATCTGTTCTATGTGTGCTATTTCTATGCTTCCCGTTCTTAAGTTTTGTTTGTGTGTCTTTTACTTTAGGTTTTGTACACCAGCTTCAAACAGCTGAAAATACAATATTTTTGGTTATGGAAAATATATTTCACAGTGGTTTAGGTACAATGATTCTCTACACTATACATGCTTGTTTTGTCACAAACTGAAATTAGGCAAACTATAAGGATTTTAGCAATCAGGAAATGGCGGAGCGATTTCTGCATAATGCATCTTTAAGCAGGAATGGGGGACGCAAGTGAAAAGGGTAGAAAGTAGGGAACTTATGTGCCTGCCCTATATTAAAGACAAACATTGGCTGCAATATATATATTTTTCATAAATAGAAACATATACCAGTTTCATTTGAGGACCAACATGTTGACAGTTGCGCAATACAGGTTGCATAATAGCTGGGAAGAGAATTTCCATGTTCCAATTCCATGGCACATGGTTTATGAACAGACACACAAAACAACACTGAATTCAAAACTTTTTCAATTTAAATGATCATACAAAATTATGTGGCTTTCCAAATGAAGTAAAAGTAAAAGTTGTCACAAATATAAATGGTAAAGATACCCCCAAAAAATACTTAAGTAGTACTTTAAAGTATTTTTTACTTAAGTACTTTACGCCACTGGCCCAGAGGAGAGAGAGAGAGAGTGAGAGTGAGAGCGAGATGAGCTGAAGAGACTCTCACAGACAAAGTAAAATATGTTTTCTATGCAAATGGCTGTGCGGGATTGGCGGGCCCCTGGCAAAATGGAGAGGAGAGAATTTGCAATGAATAATTCATTCTCATATGGAGGGTCGGAGAGATCGAGAGAAAATGAGAGCAATGCCAAACACAAACAACCTTGGAAAGAGGTAGACACTGTAGAGGGCACAGTGTGTGTGTGTGTGTGTGTGCGTACATGCGTTGTTAAGTGCATGCGTGTAACCCAGGGCTTGATTCATAGAACCGTGATTACGTCAGTAACCTCTGGTAGCCGCAAGATGCGGTTGTAATAAACGGAACAGTTTCTGTTTTCTTCCTACAAATCTGGCTCTATCTTTTGAATGGTTTAAGCTATAAATTATTAGGACCCCATCACTGAAAGATAATAATATAATAATAATAATAATATGCCATTTAGCAGACGCTTTTATCCAAAGCGACTTACAGTCATGTGTGCATACATTTTTACGTATGGGTGGTCCCGGGGATGGAACCCACTACCCTGGCGTTACAAGCGCCATGCTCTACCAACTGAGCTACAGAGGACTCGCAGGAACACTTACGTACATACTGTTTCCCTCTACTATGCCCACTAGCCATTAGAACAGAGTGGACAAGACCTGGCACTAAATCAGACTGGGGGAAAAAGATCATCAATGATGTTCTTTTCTACACTGAAGTTCATACAACATTATTGCCTGATGATGTTTTGACCTTCCCAATACCTTTCTGATGCATTTCAGTCACATCAAATCATACGGTTTAAAGATTGAAATACTGTCAAAAATACTGTCAGACTGATTTGTAATAGACTGTCAAAGTCCCAAATTTAAAAAGTTAACATTGGCTGTTGATTACACACCTATTTTTTTTACATGGGTGGTGTCACAATTTTGGGGGGGATATCCCAAAAACTTTTTGGGGTCCCGGGTCAAAAAAGTTTGGGAACCCCTGGTGTAACCATACATTTGTGGGTGCTTGAACAAGTATATTTGTGAGGGAGATGAGTGGGTAGCGTATGCTAGCGTAGGGCTGTGGTGGTCACAACATTTTGTCAGCCGGTGATTGTCAAGCAAATAACTGTCGGTCTCACGGTAACTGACCGTTAATAAACATAAACACATTTAGCATCTCCTGACTTCCACACATAGCCTACAATCCATTTTAAAAAGTCTAATAAATCCATGTAATATAGCCTACACCGTCACAATAAATCCATTATTTATTTTAGACATGTCTAAACAAGCATGATATAAAAAGAATGTTGTCTATTTCAGAAGAAAATAATAGCATAATCTGAGTTGTCCTTATGTTAGGTCCTGATGTGGCTATGCCAAATGGCTGTGGGCTACACTAGTTAATTTAGCAGACAAGATTTGCATATAATTCCGTGGCATTATTTTATCGTATGAAGAATACAATTGAACAAAGCTGAATAAAATATAAATATTTTCGGCAAACGATTTGAGGGAGTGCACACATGCGGCTATTCTGTGTTGAGCGGTTAACAAAGAAATAGGTATTCCTATATGCTTAATTTAGAGTTATTAATGTAACTTTAGCTGTTCTACAAATGTAGGGCTATATGTTTTAATTGTTTAATAGGCTGCATGATGAGACTAGTGCTCTGCTTTGCTTTTTGCGCTGGCTGTACACACTCCAATAGTCCCTCATTCACAATTTGACAAGCACTTGATAATGCCTCGAATTTCACGGCGGCATCCCCTTTCTGGCCATGATGCACCCTAAAAAAATCCATGCCTTTTGCGGCCCGGAGTGCTGCGTTGTGCCCTTCTCCCTGAGAGCGCTGCGCAATCCGAAGCGCCTCTCACTCACACGGCTCTCCGTCACGTGATCGGGTCTTTCTCACAGACAACAAAGTTAAGACCGACATTGGGGACGCAACTGCGCGTGTCCTTATCCAATTCCGAGGTGCATATTGAAGATACTGGAAGAACTGTCCACATTTACTATCGTCAGCCAATAAGATGAGTAGGCCTAATGAACAGCAAAAGCACTAGCCAGCCTATGTCAATCTACTAGCCCCCATAGTACAAAAGTCGACCTACAGTGGGGAAAAAAGTATTTAGTCAGCCACCAATTGTGCAAGTTCTCCCACTTAAAAAGATGAGAGAGGCCTGTAATTTTCATCATAGGTACACGTCAACTATGACAGACAAAATGAGAAAAATAAATCCAGAAAATCACATTGTAGGATTTTTTATGAATTTATTTGCAAATTATGGTGGAAAATAAGTATTTGGTCAATAACAAAAAAGTTTCTCAATACTTTGTTATATACCCTTTGTTGGCAATGACACAGGTCAAACGTTTTCTGTAAGTCTTCACAAGGTTTTCACACACTGTTGCTGGTATTTTGGCCCATTCCTCCATGCAGATCTCCTCTAGAGCAGTGATGTTTTGGGGCTGTCGCTGGGCAACACGGACTTTCAACTCCCTCCAAAGATTTTCTATGGGGTTGAGATCTGGAGACTGGCTAGGCCACTCCAGGACCTTGAAATGCTTCT